TTTTTAACTCTACATTTAACTCAGGGAGATCAAAGATTTTTTTCAAATAGTGCTTGGCTTTACTTGTCGAAGCCCCCCCCCCCCGAAAACCCCCAAGAAGATACACCTTCAAAATGGCAAATAGAGAGGACTCACCAGTGGGCCCCTTCAGGAATCCTGTCCCACCGATGCTCCGGCTGACATTTTACAGGAGGGACAAAGGGGGACAAACTCAGTGAAAGAAACCTTACCAGTTGAATTGCCTTGGTTTTATTTGAGGAGTTTAACTTTGTCTACATTTCAGTTGAAGAAAAGTAGGGCTGGGAGGTGGCTCTGTTAAGATGAGCATCTGGCTAAGCGATTGATCTGCAAATGGCTCCATATTCTCTCTCTGTCCCTCTCTGTCCTTCTGTCTGTCCGTCCAGGTGTCTATGGCCTCGTGGGAAAAGGAGACGCCAGAAACCTGGTTCAGCCAATTCCAGAAAGGGAGTAAGGTGAGCAGGCCAGGGGGGTGGGACTGGCCGGAAGTGCTGACACCCCCCCCTCTATTCAGCACTGGTGAGGCCTCCTCTAGCATCCTGTGCCCAGTTCTGGACACCACGATTTCTAGAAGGATGCTGACAACTTAGAACAAGTTCAGGGGAGGGCAACAAGGAGGGTCAGGGGGCTGGAAACCAAGCCCTAGAAGGAGGAAAGACGGACAGAACTGGGAAGGGTTAGCCTTAAGAAAAGAAAGACAGAGAGGAGACAGGACAGCGCTTTTCAAAGACTGGAAAGGCGTGTCCTACAGAGGAGGGGCAGGATCTGTTCCCAAGTCATCCCCTAGTGCAGGAGAGGTGAGCTACAAGAATCCAGAGTTAGGTGGAACCACAGAGAAAACAAAACAAAACTCCTTAATGTTGAGAGGAGTATGACGGTGGAATCGCAGGAGGTGGTGAGCGCTCAAGAGGAACTTAAGGCAACCGCCCGGCAGACATCCTTTGGACTCGTATTCCTGCATCGAACAGCGGGGTTGGACTGGATGGCCTCACGGGACCCTTCCAGCTCGGTTTCTCTGCCCTGCGGTCTCTGCACTCCTCTTCTGAGTAACTGGGGGCACAGGAATTCGGGCTTTGAGTTTGACGGGACACCCCGGACACTCCAGGGAAGCCAGGCGGCCCTGCGATGCGTCTGGGGAGTCCGAAGCGGTTGTGTGCCTGAGCCCAGACATGTGGGGCAGGGCGCTTTAGAGATTGCCATTGAAAAGGCTGAAAAGAACTGAAGTCTGAGGGGCTGAGAAATTGCCGGCAAGCTGGGCCGTGGCGAGGGGGTGGAGGCGGCTCTGGCGCTTGATCTTGCCCTTGGGCATGGAGGGGGTAGACTTCCTTGGGACGTGGAGGGTTTTCCTGATGGCTCGGGCAAATGCTTCGTGGTGCTCAGCACCCAGAGGTCAGGAGAAGGGCTTCTTGGTTGCCCACAGATGGGTGGGGACCATGGGCTTGGCAGAGGACGGACCCCATGACGCTGGGCGAGAGCTGGTCTAGAGCGCATGGCATGGACCCCAGAGGGCTAATCTGCCCCCCCTTGTCCCCTCCTGACCCCTTTCCTTCCTCCCCTCCCCAGTTCTCCTACGTGGACGCCGAGGGGAACCCCCTGGGGGTCGTCCAGCTGACCTTCCTGCGGCTGCTGAGCGTCTCGGCCCGGAAGAACTTCACCTACCACTGCCAGCGCTCGGCCGCTTGGCACAGCCGCGACCCCCCTGCCGGCGCCTCCAGCACCACGGTGGGGGGATACCGGCGGGCCCTGCGCTTCCTGGGGGCCAACGACGAGGACATGAGCTACGACAACAGCCCCTACATCAAAGCCTTGGCGGACGGCTGTGCGGTAAGGCTGCCTGGAGCAGGATTAAAAGCAGGAAGCCCTCTTAGACCCATCTTGTGGCAGGGGGGTCCACAGGCTCAGCTGCGTTTCGAAGTGTGGAAAGATAACGGAACTTTTTTTTAGCCCAAGCCAAATGTTCCGATTTCCTTGAACTCAGCATCCCCGCCAGCTTCGGTGCCACCGTGGGCAAAGAGTTGGTCCCTCTAGCCCCCAACTGGGGGCTCCCACGCCCCAAAAAAGTCATTTAAAGTCATTCAAATCCTCCCCACCCACATCCCCTCATTAAGAAATAATTTGTTAAGAATAGTTTTGGCTACCGGAGGGCAAAATGGAGGGGACTCTCTGTTTTCGTTGAGCTTAATAATAATAACACCTGCATGCCCTCAAGTCAATTTTAACTTATGGAAATTTATACAACCTTCCAGAGTTTTTTATAAGTGGAGAATACCGTGGGATCCCCCCCCCTTCCTCAAAACACAGAGGGCCTCTGTTCTTCTCCTTCCTCCACCTTGAGCTTTCTCTCTTTCTCTCCTCCCCCCTTTTTACCTGTCCACCCAGGTGCGGAAGGGGGCAGACAAGACGGTCCTGGAGGTGAACACCCCCTTAGTGGAGCAGCTCCCCCTGCTGGACGTGCGTGTGACGGACTTTGGAGAGCCCAACCAGAGGTTTGGGTTCGAGGTGGGGCCGGTCTGTTTCCTGGGCTAGAGCGAAGCCCCTCCACCGGTTGAGCCTCTTCCCCCCCCACCTCCCCCCCACCCCAACTTCTCTGCCCCCCCGCCTTCCTCTCGGCCTTCAGTGGGGCAGCCCTCCTCGTCCCTCCTCCCTGCCACCGCCTGGACCGAAGGGAACTCATCCGGATCCTCCAGCGCCAGCCACAGCCGTGCCCTCTGGGGGGCACCGCCACCCCTACAACACCCCCCCCTCCCCAGAGGGGAGGCAACGGTGCAGAGAAGAAAGGGAGACCAAGAGACTTTGGAACCAATTAATTTTCCCCCCACTGTCTAGAGGCTCATGGGATCCTCTACCTCTTTTATCCTGCAGTGGCTGATGGGCTTTGCAGTCACAACCCCCCTCCCCTCCCCAATAGCAACCCTAGTTTCCATCATCCCGGTTTAGGGGGGGCACTAACCAGACTTAAAGGTGGGGCTGAAGACCTGTAGGTTTTGCGGGGGGGGGGAGCGCGGCCCGTCAGCCCTCATCCGGCTACACCCCCCCACCCCCCACCCCCGCGTGTTTTTCCCAACTTTTAACACTGGCGTGGATGAACGCGGTGCTCCGTCTCTCCTACCTCAAGAGATAGCCGGAGGGGCGAGGACCGCGCAGCTGGGGTCCCGAAGGCAGCACCCCCTCCCCCTCCAAGCCTGGGGGGGCACCCTAATATCCTGGGGCATGGGGGGGAGAGTGGAAGTGCCTTTGAAGCCTACACATCTCCAGTCTCGGGGAAATCCAGGGGGATTTTGGAAAAGTGA